CACCATTATTTTGTTTAAGATATGACCCACTAATCGTTTTTCGAAGGCAAAATTATATAACTTTCATTTTCATAAAAACGGTGTCACATGCCTCTTAGTGCAAATGGCCTATTTATATGCAGAGTAGTTGACGTAAAACAAAAGAACCTTTTGTTTACTGTTCAGGGAAAATTCTGCTTGGTATTGTTTCATAGTTTTTGTACTTTTGTTTTTCGTAATCTGGGTGCAGTAAACGAGATGAATGCCAATTTCACGCGCGTTTTGTCCAAATTCTAACAATTTCCCGATCTTTTAGGCGAGGGAAATTATTGGGATTTGGACTACACGCAAGTGGAACTATTCGCTAGTTTCACGAGTATACCGTTTGATCGCCTATTGCTTTTGATATCATGGGTGACAAATAACCCTCACAATCATTTTTACATGATTTATAGTATCGAACGAGAACTCCACACACTGAAACGTTTACAGCTTAAATTTTGGCTTAAGTTCGTAATTTTCAGATTTTTTTTCTAACAACCTGATAGAATCCTTCTTAATGTGCTCTTTCGTGTCTTCAGGTTTTCTATTCTCCCCACATTTTCTTTTCTTTTGTTTCTTTTATGTGCTTATTATTATTAATGTTATTTTATTAGTATTACTTATAATGCATTTAATGTATATATATATTTCTATTCTATTTTCATGTAGTGACAGCTCGAAGATATTAGCTTGTTAGCTACTCTAAAATTCAAGTATAAATAAAATTTCTGTTATGTTATGATGTCCTTTTATGCTCTGACATCCTCATACCATTTTAAAGCTTCGACGCTATTTTGGGACTGAGACAAACGTAGCTTTGCAAAGACAATTAAATTTGTAATTTCACATGAGAAATTATAAGTTAAAGCTATAAGATTGGGGTCAAAACTAAGGAAAAATTTGTCACACATGATATTGTATTGTTTATTCCCTTTAATTTAATCAGATTTGAAATTAAAGATAAGACGGAACATGAGGTTATTCCTACTTTTCTGGCTTTTCTTTGTTTTATGTAAATGAAACCTGCAAATAAAGGCAACAGAAAACAAAACAGGATCAAATAACGTTAGCTCTGTAAGTTTATTTCTTAATACATTTCATTTCTACTATTATATATTTGAATTTTCCTATTATATGGCTTTTATTTCTTTCATATTTATCAAATCTGCAAATTAAGGCAACAGAAAACAAAACAGGATCAGATAACGTTAGCTCTCTAAGTTTATTTCTTAATACATTTAATTTCTACTATTATATATTTGAATTTTCCTATTATATGGGTTTTCTTTATTTCATGTTTATCAAATATGCAAATTAAGGTAACAGAAAACAAAACAGGAACAGATAACTACAACTCTGTAAGTTCATTTCTTGATACATCTAATTTCTGATATTATAATTTAATTTTCTTCTGATATGGCTTTTCTTTCTTTCATGTTTATCAAATATGCAAATTAAGGCAACAGAAAACAAAACAGGATCAGATAACTTCAAATCTGTAAGTTCATTTCTTGATACGCAGCGGAGCGCAGCGGAGCACCCTGGGTTAGAAAATTTGGTTATCTACCCATCCGAGAAATTTTGGTAATCACGTGACCGTACGCCCGACCATCCGTCCGCACCACAGGCATACCAATGTAAAATAATTCAATTAACAGGTACGACACCACAGACAACTGGAGGTGTTTTTGGCGGGAAATAGTATTGCCGCCCAGACTTTTAGAGAGAAAAAACAAGAACAAAGTCGTGTCTTTTTCGACGTTAATTTTGATGTTTACACTCACGTGGAGAAAGAGAAAGAGAGAAAGACGGAGAAAGAGTTAGAGCGAGTGATTAAAAAAAAGGAATCGAATGTCGTTGGGAGAAAAACATGAAAATTTCCTGGCGGCGGTGCCGTAAGAAAATGAGAAATGCTACTAGCAGCCAGCAAGGTGAAAATAAACGGCAGTGAAAAAATAAAAGCGAACATGAACACGGGAAACAAAATCTTTGGTATGCACGTGCGACAATTCCTCCATAAAAGTAATGTGTAACTAGGAAGTTTGACGTTTTAGTCTTACAAAACGGCATTGTAGTCGTGCAAAACAACGGCAAAAAAAGACAAAAAAGCGTGCTGCACGTGCGAATTTGTTTTAATTTGGCTAATAAGAAAAAATAGTGTGCTGCACGTGCAAATTTGTCTTTTTGCTCATTAGATCTATTCATCTTGATGCTCGTTTTCATTGCCGTCCCCGTTTAGCATTACACGATTTATTTTTTTGTGTTTATAATTATTATTAACCAGAGCTTCGCTTTTAGCCCTGGCTAAATCTATTTATTACATTTAATTTCTGCTACTATATTTGAACTTCCCTATACGTGGCTTTCCTTAATCTTTCATTTTCATCAAATCTGCAAATTAAGGCAACAGAAAGCCAAACAGGATCAGATAACGTTAGCTCTGTAAGTTTATTTCGTAATACATTTATTTTCTACTATTATATATTTGAATTTTCCTCTGATATGGCTTTTCTTTCTTTCATGTTTATCAAATCTGCAAATTAAGGCAACAGAAAACAAAACAGGATCAGATAACTTCAAACCTGTAAGTTCATTTCTTAATACATCTATTTTTTGCTATTCTATCTGACTTTTCCTCTTATGTGGCTTTCCTTAATCTTTTATATTCATCAAATCTGCAAATTAAGGCAACAGAAAATAAAAAAGGATCAGATAACATTAGCTCTGTAAGTTTATTTCTTAATACATTTAATTTCTACTATTATATATTTGAATTTTCCTCTTATATGGCTTTTCTTTCTTTCATGTTTATCAAATCTGCAAATTAAGGCAACAGAAAACAAAACACGATCAAATAACGTTAGCTCTGTAAGTTTATTTCTTAATACATTTCATTTCTACTATTATATATTTGAATTTTCCTCTTATATGGCTTTTCGTTCTTTCATGTTTATCAAATCTGCCAATTAAGGCAACAGAAAACAAAACAGGATCAGATAACTTCAAACCTGTAAGTTCATTTCTTAATACATCTATTTTTTGCTATTCTATCTGAATTTTCCTCTTATGTGGCTTTCTTTAATCTTTTATATTCATCAAATCTGCAAATTAAGGCAACAGAAAATAAAAAAGGATCAGACAACATTAGCTCTGTAAGTTTATTTCTTAATACATTTAATTTCTACTATTATATATTTGAATTTTCCTCTTATATGGCTTTTCTTTCTTTCATGTTTATCAAATCTGCAAATTAAGGCAACAGAAAGCAAAACAGGATTAGATAATGTTAGCTCTGCAAGTTTAGTTAATTAATACATTTAATTTTTGCTACTATATTTGAATTTTCCTCTTATGTGGCTTTCCTTAATCTTTCATGTTCATCAAATCTCCAAGTTAAGGGAACAAAAAAGAAACCAGGATCAGATAAAGTTAGCTTTGTCAGTTTATGTTTTAACGCATTCTGCTTCTAGACTCGTTTAGATTTCGTTTGTTAGGTCGCTGTGGGAAAAAAGAATGAAATTGAATAGTACATAGTTTCATAGTTATTTATGCGACTGTCAGAAACAGTCGTTTTTCCACCTTCATCACATACATATTCTGTTTAACCCATTGACGGCCATGCCAGCCAAAACCGGCTGTACAAGAGTACACTGCTTTAAAAACATTCTTAATCGCGCGAATATTGCCTTAACTATCAGTTGTGATACTGGGTAGAATGTCCCTCAAAATGGGATATTCAATAAACGCAAAAAGGTCATCTCTTTTTGCAAAATATCACCTTTTGAATTTGGACAAGAACAAAAAATCATAGAAAAACGACAAAAATCACGTTTTTTTGCCTTCAGGATTTTTATAGAAATCATCGCTATAAAACCAAAAGTCAACATTCACAGTAAACTTCAGTCCTTGTTCAAGCTTAGAAATGCCTTTTTCGTTCTTATTTGTTTCTCGGGCCGAGATACAGCCTTTTGTTCTAGTGCATCCTGGTCTTGCCTCGATCTTCGACATCACGATTGCACTGCGTGCTGGGAAATAGCCAGTATTTTGACAGCGCCACTCCAACCTACCACGGGAATGCCGCGCTTGTTGTGATTTTCAGTGGTCGAAAATTACAGAATATCCCGTGGTAGGTCAAGAAATCCACCAGTAGTCGAGTCCCAAAGCTACTTCATTTAGGAGCGGCCATTTTTCCAGTTCCTCGAGCAACAAACCACTTCTTTGAGACTCTTAGCTTCCGCCACGCTTAATGATGCTCATCAAATAGCCACTAAAGATGAGAAATGGTTGCAAGCTTACCAAAAATCACATACAAACCAAACTTCAGCTGTTATTATAGCTCAGCGAAGCAAAAAGACTACGTTAGAAAAACGTTTCCAGAAATGTCGAGCCTTCAGTGTTTTAGAACATCATCACCTTCCATAGTAACCCCAAATACGGATTCACGAAATCCTATGGATTGTTTTTATGTAGAAAATCACTGGAAACCGTAAAAAGTCCCGTGCACCAATGGGTTAAGACAATAGGTGGGTTCACACTGGACTTTTCAAGTGCACTTGAGACTAACTTGTGTGTGAACAGGTCCTATTTCACTTGACTGATCTTGACTAGTCGTTCTTAGTTGCCACAGAAACTTCAAAAACCACAGAATGCCGAAGTGCGCTCTCAAGTTAGGTCAAATCCTTTCTTGAGACTGCACTTATCCAATTAAAGCGTCGGAAGTTTATTATCAAACTGTCAATCATCTCAAGCCAAAACTTTCAATCTCAAAAGCGAGCAAGCGAGAAATAATGTTCGAGAATACTGATCTCCACAAAATGTAAATGTAGGTAGGCTGTTCTCGGTTCTGATTCATGAGCTGGTTCAGAAATTTCACGATTTCTTTTTTTCACTATATTTGACAGAAACAACGTTACTGTAAGACTTAGCTGTGGAAAAGAAGTGACTTATGTTTCACAAAGAGCGATTTGCCTGTTGTGCGTTTTGTTGGATGCATTTTATTCTTTTTTCAACTCGTTCAAGCCATGTTTTCTGTGTCCACCTGCAGCAATAGGCATTTACAAGATGAGACAACCTCAAGACTCATGAAAGAAATAGAAAGCCACCAGATTTACTCAAAAGAATTTTAATGGAACAAGAAAAGTTCATACGAAACGGTAGTAGCAGCGGAGCTCTAGCGCTGCTCTAGCAAAATACTCGAAGCAACGAGCTCAAAATACCGGCAAGGAGAGCTTTTAGAACACAAAAGAAGGTTTATCCTGCTTCGATTACTTCGATGAAACCATCTGTCGCATTGTTATTCTTTCATTTTGGCACAGTTAAAGAAGATTGTTGTCAATAAACGGAAAATCGCCTTTTGCAATAGTTCTACGGCTCTAGTCTTCGCGGCCGCTTTAATTGAACACATGTACGGCAGCGTTTTCCCGAGCTATTAAACTCCGAGAGAAAGATTAGTTCCAAAACTGGAACAAAAGTGCTCATCTTAACTTTAGTGTGAACGCCATTTCTTGGCAAAAAGCTGAGTGCACTTCAAGTGCTTTTCGAGTACACTTGAACTCAAGTGTACAAGAACAAGAAAATTTCCCAAATGACTTACTTTCTAATGACTTACAAGACATGTACAGAACCAGTGCAAGTCATAATTCTATGAAAATAGTGCATTTTTTTAAATTTTGTGCAAGAGGTATTATGGCTCTTGTTTTGCGCTAGTAAGTTTTGAAAAAACCACAATTGCAATCCGCTTCAATTTTTTGGTCACTTAATTTGGTGGCAGTTTCCATTGTTGGAATTTTGATAATTCCTTCTCACAGCCCCCGGTGTGGGAGCATAGTACTAAAAGTTCAGTGAAACCTTTTAGTATGGTCACCTTCTGTTACAGACAGTTGTCATATTCTTATCATTTTGACTTAACTGTTTTCAGGAAACTTTCCGGGACCGTCTAACCGTCTTGTTCTTTTCTTTTCTTTTCTTCCAGACAGAGACAACATTAAAAGAGGGGAGATGTTTACTAGATATGGAAGATGTAAAGGTAAATTGACTGATAGTAGTTTTCAAGAAAGCCAATAAGTGAGGCCCTATGCTTTAAAAAACATTTTACCTTCAGATCGGCAAGAATTGCGATGACTTTAAATGCGGCACATTTGTCAACAAAAAATCTTGAGAGCGTCTGCATTTTATTTTGTTGTGCTAGCAGTGTTAGGAGAAAAATACCACGGAGCCCTAGGTTTTACTTGTCGGTAAACACTCTTGAAGGAACTGCTTGAATTCCTCACAAAATAACAAAAATAACCGTCCATTTGAGTAGTTGGTGATTAAAAGATTATTTTAACTGTCAAGGATTATTTCATACAAAAAGAAAAATGAAAAAAAAAAAAAAAAAACCTTCTATCGCAGAAGCACTCCATATAGCCTTCATCTAGACGGAGACCATTGTAGACAGTCGAGCCCTCAGTGCGGTCAGTGATGACGTCAACGATTACGAATCACTGACGCCGAACCACTTCCTCATCGGACGGCCATCACCCTACATGCAGCCCACCCAGTCAATTTGAAAAGCGCGAATTTAATAGCCACAAGGAATGGAGAATAGCCCAGGCACTCGCGGACGCAAGGAGAGCCTACCTTAAACCCGTCAATCCCTTCCTAATGGAATAAAGAACAGCTAAACTTAAAGGAAGATGACTTTATCGGGTCACAGGAGTCTCACATTGGTCCCTTGATAGAGTTCTGAAGACATTTTCAGGAGATGATGGGAGAGTGCGAATGAAGTGAAAGACACCCAACGAAACTTTGATGCAGCCTACCGCAAAGTTGTGCTTGGTGGAAAAATCTGCTTCATAGAATGGACAATGTCGAACAATGTTTTACTAAGAACGTTTGTAGTGTAGGAAACTTTTACTTTATTGCTTGTATCTTAGCTTGTCGTTCATCTTATGGTCTTTCTGGGGAGGGAGAGAAGATCAAGTGGAGCGGCCGCTGGCTATGTTATTCGTGGTAAATTGTAAAATTTCCGTGATTACCCGCGAGGGTAACTCGGGAAAACGAGGTCAGTAAGAATTAAAAAGTTGTTGTTGCCTTACAATAGTCTCGACAACGAATTTGTTAATTGGACTAACCACCGGGGCAGTAATAACTGGCAAAAGTACAAACAATGGACTAGGTCATTCGCCTAGGCACATCCTCTTTAAGAACATCACATTGTGTCGATTTTCCACTCTAAAAGTGCGAATTTACTCCCTTTATTTGATTTTTGTTTCAGATTGTAGAAAAACAACTTGGTAACCTCGTTATGGATATCGGGAACGAAAATGATCCTGTATTTAGGCTCGAACAAATATTGGAAAAAAAAGTGGAGGTCGTGCTTCTATGCTGTTCCATCGGGGCAATAACTATTTACTTTATCGTGCTACTAGTCCTAAGGTTAGTTGTTGTGTTGCTTTTAAGGAAAAACCAGTGCCTTATCATATCGAAAAACTCGTCCTTAGGTTCATGAAAAACCGTTGACGTGATCTAAAATGTTAATAATTTGTTTCAGAGTGGAAATCACAGAAAAGATTTTCGTGCACGTAAATATGCTACTTTCGCTGGGCATTGCACACCTGGTGTACGTATTGGATTTTACAGTGTTTACCAACAGAGAAGAACATCCAGTAAGTAGTTTATTTATCATCTTGAAACCCATACTAGGCCTTTTTCTATGGTCATTGACAGGTGGGAGGCCAGGGCGAGTAACATTCTTTGAAAACTGCATAATTAATTAGATTACAAAGCCAGAATCCTTTTTTGTCATTCAATATTAAAATATTCTTTATACCTTAAAAACAGCTAAAATTCGAAAAACAAACGAACAACAGAAAAACCATTCTTATATCGATTGATGTTTAGTTCTCTTCATTTGCCTGATCCTCCTCAATTTCAGGATATAAAGGGATTTTTAGCCTTCAAATAGCAGTTGCCGTACGTCTAGTTCTTTTTTTGCTGTTTTTGCTATGTTTTAGGCAGTAGTCTGGCTATTGTTTCGACATTCTCTGCCTTTAGCCTGGGCAAAGATAACTGTGTCATCGTTTTAATATTTGATATGTCAGCTGCATTCGACACAGTCGAAAATCACATAGTGCTACAAGACTCAGTCGCCGTTTTGGAATCAAAGGAAAGGCACTGGCTTGTATGTGGTCCCTGGTCTGGTCGATTTTACTCTGTGATGTAATTTTCGGGAAGAAAATGAGGTTTCAATACAAACGAAACTTTACGAGACAGTGTTTATTGATCTGTTTGCCTTCTTAAGCTCGATTGGAGGTTTTCCTGATGACTAGCGAAGGAGGTAAAATCAAGTAAAGGCAAACGTAGGTGAATTTTGTTCTGTTATTTGTGTTTTTTTTTTTATGGCCCCTTAAATTGGATATATATTGAATTCAGGCATATACGATTAAGTGCGTTTAAGAAAGCCGTTAATTTTTGGTTACATTATTGCGTACAAGAAATGTTCCTTCCACTTGCAACAAAAAATGCGGTAGAAAGTTTGAATTTTGAAACCAAAATTGTAGATAATATTCTAAAGCAAATTTTGCGTAATAGGTCTTTGGTCCGGCCGCCGGACGATAGGATAAACCAGCAAAATAATGATTGAAAATGGAGAGCCTCAGAAAGTACAGTTTTCTTTTCGTTTAGTTATTAGGAAATTAAGATTCATGAGTTAAAGTGAGGATCTTTCAACTTTGAGTCACATTTTAAATAAAGCACTTTCATTAATTGGAGTAAATGATCAAAATCGCGTACAGCGTATATTCGATCCTTCCGATTGGTTCCAGTTACTATACACTGTTTTTCCGAGTGATGTCCTCAAAAGTTATGATTTGTCGTATCCTTTTTACGCCGATGACAGCCAGATATACATGCCCTTTCACCGTCACTGGTGAACCTGGGTACTCCAAATCTAAACGTGTATCCTTGACACCAGTAGTTGGATGAGAGCCAATAGGATCAAACTCAATAACGAAAAAACTGAGCTTTTGGTGCTGAACGCCTTTCATTGCCCCCTTAGGCAGCTAAGCATCGTTTACGCAATCAGTGAATAAATTGTAGCCACTAACTCGGCTAAAACCATCGGTTTTTGGTTTGAGATCAATCTACAAGCATGTGAAATTTCTCTGCAAGACATCTTTCTGCCAATTACGTAACTTGGCAACTATTAGAAGGTTCCAAAAGCACTGTGAAATTCTCTTACATGCCTTTGTTACAGTGTACTTCCGCTAATCAATCAATCAATCTTTATTTGTACTCACTCTTGCTCAAAAATGAATTACAACAATGAAAATATTAAAAGTAACTCTCTTTTATCTGGTCCATCTGGTCTCCTCAGCATCTGTTGCAAAACATATTTAAAATACTGCGGCCAGTTCCCTCACGCACCCAAACAAATACGACCACGTTCCCCACATTTCTTTCTTTTCCAGCAGATATCTAAAACGTCTTCCAAATCTGGTCCACCCTAGCTGGTTACAAAGAGTTAGTCGGGGTATTTGAGCCAATCAAAAACGAGAAATATTTTGGATGAGATGGTAACAAGTAAGGTTTAAATTTCTAAAATTCGGATATGTACACACTTTTTTATTGTCTTTTAGGTTCTCTGTTCGACTGTTGTGGTAACTCTTCATTTTCTGGAAACAGCTCTGTTTACCTGGATGTTTGTGGAAGGGATAAACCTCTACAACAAGTTGGTCAAGGTTTTTTCGATGCGAAAGCAATACTTAGCTTTCGCGGCAATAGGATGGGGTGCGTTACTTTTCTTGATACTTCTATTCCAGTCATTTTGTGGTTGGACCCGGAACTATAAATGCAACAGAAGCGTTCTCTTCGCTAATTACTTAGGATTAGACTAATATATAGATTTAGCCAGGGCTAAAAGCGAAGCTCTCAATAATATTTATAGCTTGTTGAACAAAATATCAAATCGTGTAATGCTTAGTGGCGAAGGCAATACTGGAGAATGGTGAAAAACAACAATAGGTCTAATTGGCAAAAAAAGCAACTTTGCACGTGCAGCACACTTTTTTTGTACATTTCTTTGCCGTTGTTTTGCACGACTGCAACGTGAAACTTCTGATTGCTGCCAGAAAACTACAAAAGTTTTCTGGCACCAATCAGAAGTCAGAACGGCGGCGACCGTTTGGAACTGGTCTGGTAAGACATTGTCCCTAGGGGTTCTTCTCGCCGTTCTTTACTTTGCTTCGTGCCATATTTTTCCGCCCGTTTAGACTTTCCCTCGCCCCTACTATCTGCCCCTGGGTCTCCGAGGATGGTTATGCACTTGGATCAATATATATTTTAAGCTTAAGTCCGGAGTTATATTTTGGAAAACGGATTTCAAAAGCTCTTGATCTGCATACTGGCCAAGCTTACGACCAGATACAAACCATAAGCTGTCAACTCCCTCCTCTGAATTAGCTGAATTTTTTTCAATGTTAGTTGACATACTGGCAAACAACACACAGTACACCACAAACTGTACCAATTTACACCCAACACCCAACACCCACCAGTGACCCACTGGCGAAAGTTAAACTTGTCTTTTGTACGTCGTCTTAATCATCAATTACCCTAAAATCTCCACTGGGTTTGCCCCCAAAAAATAATTAAACGAAGCCTTTTATTGGTTTTCGGGATTTAATTACAGAATTACAGGTCTATGCCCAATACAGTATTAAAATGCGGTAAAGCAAAAAGATTCAATGCTCACAGTCTCTCATAAATACCTGTCATTTAGCTTCCTCTTTCAACGCTACAGCTAAGCGAACTTTGAGAGGAATGATATGGGGTTTCACTAGCTCTGAAGAGCTGAAAGTACGCACAAAGTATAATACATCCTTTGGTGAGCCTCCTATTGCTGTGGCTAAACTCCTCAATCTTGCTGTACACTCGGCCCTCAAAAGTGTGACCGGCGGGATGATTGCCCGTAAAATTTGCTCGACGATAGAAAGGAATCTTTAAAATTCATTACACCACTGGTCATTTCATTCCAAAAAAGTACTTAAGTGTAGTTTTCTATGACAATAGGAATCTTAAAATCGCCAAATCCAAGAAATCGGAACAGTATTTCCGTGATAAAATCGAAATTTTTATCCCTCTTCGATGAAAACTTTGCTCATCATTTTTAAAGTCATTGACGCGAGACGTGACGTCATACTGGCAGGCGGACTGTACCACAGATTTCCTTGGAGACACCCCCTCCCCCCCCCCTTAGTCAATGTCAAGGGTAAAAACGTTTCAAATCGCCTCACGTTTAAATTAAGTAACGGTCCTGAAAAGATATTAAAGTGTATAAAACGATAGAAATATAATTTACACGGTCATTATGCAGCTAACTTTGTTAAATCTAAACTTTCAAGTATTCTCCCTTGATATATATACAGTCGAGCCTCCACTAATGTCCACCTCTCTACAACGGCAACGGCCACTTAAACGTGTGTCCCCAACCGCCAAAATAACTTCTCGACATGGGCCAATTTTTTTTTTTTCCAAAGACAGATGAAAAAGTCAAGAATGGTAATGAAATTTGATCTGCATGGAACGTTTGAGATCAATCGGGGCAATCGTATTTTCATTTTGTTTCATTTATACTGCTGCAGTAAGCTTAAATAGTCTAAGATAAATGTAGCGAATGTTGCGAACTTTGCTCGTTTTGTCACGTCAACATTTTGATTCAAGACATAATTCAAGCTTTTTGAGTATATATTAAATATGATAGGATTACTATGATTACAGAACACAGTAAGCATGAACTTAACACAATAACTGACATGTTGTACTCCCTAAAAAATGTCATATAATCACCCCCACCTTCCCATAACGGCCACCTCTCCACAACGGTCAGTTTCTTCTGTACCCGGCCAAGGTGGTCGTTTTGGAGAGGTTCGACTGAACACTCAAATTCCTTTAAGACCCATGCAGCACGCAATAACAACTTCAATGGATGCCCAAACACCCTAAAACAAGTAAACATGCTAATGAAATGAGATTGATTGTTACTTTCTGGAAAAAATTACGCTGCAAAAGAAAAGTACGTTTTGTTAACAGCTCTTGGCCACCATAAATGGAATGGATATGAAAAGTTTACACCCTGAAAAACCGTCAAGTTTCATTATCATTAAACAGTTAACTTGTTTCTCATTTGTTTGTGTCGATTCATGTTTCATAATAACACTCAAACTGTACATTGACTTAGTTTTAAGCACGCGTGATATCATCAGTATTCAGATTGCAAGTCAAATATTCAACGAGCCACTTACTTGCTCCCTTAGGTGGGGAGAGGTAACATATTTCTTCAAAGCTACGGATTTGCGAAAACCGTAGCACGGAAAGAGGTAGTGTCACGCCCAAAAGGACTTGAATATACAACATGCAACAAACACAAACATCCTAACTACTGCAATAGGCCTCACTATTAGGAAGAGATCAAAACGGATAATGGGGCCCCGTTTAATGGATCGAAATTTGCGAACTTTGCTCGGGAACAAGGGTTAAGACACCGAAAGGTCACCCCTGGGTGGGCTGAAGCTAATGGTGACGTGGAGCGTTTCATGCAAACCCTCAAGAAGAGTGCGAGAATTTCTAAACTTGAAGGAAAAGCTATTCGGGAGGGAGTGCAAACAACGGTTGGCAACTATTGCGCCACGTCCCACCCAGCGACAAAGAAAAGCCCAGACATGCTCATGTTCGGTAGAGAGCTACGGAGGAAGCTACCGGAAAGGATCGTACCTGCAGGAGAAATTCCATACGACCGAATCAGACAAAGACCCAATCAGAGACGTGGCTAAAAAGAAGCAGATGAAAGAGTACCCGGACAAGAGACGGTACGCCTGGGAAAACCTTATAGTGGTTGGAGACCAAGTTCTTTTGAAGCAGAGCAAAGCAGATGTTCTGACCTCAGCATTTGACCCCCGACCCTTCTCAGTAATGAGGCGTGAAAGGAACTATGATCACCGTGAAAAGGGGTACGGAGATTAAATCGCGGAATTCATCCAATTGTAAGTTGCTGAAGCACGCGAGGGAGGATGAGTACGTCGCTGTGGATTTAAACCAAGGTCTGGATGCATCCCGCGCGGAAGAAACTGAAACCAGAGAAGATTTGCGTTTGCAACCCGGCAACCTCGGCGTATCCAGTGAAATGACAATTGGCGGTCCACGGGCAATACTGCAGTAAGCGGGCCAAGAAGATCAGCGTAAACAAGAACGTGTACTTGGAACACTATTTACAGGGAGTTTGAGCCACACTAGACAAAAAGGGGGAGATGTAGTGTTGGGTCTCAAGGGACTTAATGCAGGATAATTATATGCGAAATGAGCGTGAACACTCTAACAAAAGAGGGACTAAAAGCGTATGATGTAACCGTTTATTGAGCCCCATTCGCGACTTTACAAGTATTTTCCCAGGTAGATAACCTATTAAAACATAAAAAAATTGCCCTAAGTTGATTTATCGGGAATGACGGCGTGCGGATCTGACAGGAAAAAATGGACTGTTTGATGGAGATAACATCAACGCAAACATCAACGTAAATCAGAACGTCGTTTCTCGACACTAGCTAAAGCCGCCATGGACAAGCGATTTGTCAGCTTTTTGAAATGAAAAGATTCTTTTCGTTTATTGGAAATTTTGCAGCATGTATTGTAGAGAACGTTTCGACACGGGCTGAAGAGCAGCCGCTCTGCAAAACTTATAGCCGGTGGAGTGAATTCCGGACAAATCATTTTGCACGTTTCGACAAGGTTTCAGACGTGAGATAAAGCCAAACATTAAAAAACAAGAAATTCCGCATCAATCGCTCAGCGTTTCAACCCCCTGTTATCGTAAACCTTTTTTATCACAGTTTCTGCAATCGCCTGGAACGTGTTCTATTGGAAAACAAAGTAATTTTACAAATCTGGTAATCCAGGGGTAATCTGTTATACTTCTGTTTTGACGAGCTGTCAATTTACAAATGAATCGAACCGTGAAATATCAAGGGGCGTTTTCCAGAATCGTTGGGTTTGCCGGCAAGCGTGTCCTCTTCTCCCCTCCCCCTTCCACCTTCTTTTTTTGCTCCCGCTCTACCTTTCGCGCAATAACTCGATTGAAAACGCTTGGGACGCAGGCTATATCGGGAAGGTCTCAAATGCTCTCAAGTTATCTCGTTCTTAAGCAACTCCCCCTGCTAGGACTCTGTGGGACTTTTGATATGTTATTAAGGACGGTTTGATGATGACAGTTGGAGTATCCTATGTTGCAATTAGTTTCAGGTTAACCTACTATTTTCTACAAAATGAATGGAGTATTCATGCGCTGAGATCTTTCTCAGAACATTTTAATCAATACACAAAAAGTTGTTTTATTATTATTATTATTATTTTCATTTTGCCTCATTTAAATTATATATATACACACAATTCAGAAAGATGATCCAAGGGAGCCCATGCAAGCCAATAAAACTTAAGAAAAGGACCACCTTTAAAAGTTATATGACTTACAGTGGGACCATACGAACCGAGGCCACCGAGATAAAATTTTAAGACAAATTTTGAAAGTAGCCAATCACAAGTCCAGCTTAAGACAATGAAATTGCGCATAATTGTACTCAGTTCAAAATACGTTGCGAACCATTTTTCTAAAGGATATAAATAAGGATTTAGGAAGTTTGTATAAACTAAGCTGAAAAATGTTTTGACAACGACTGCGTTGGCGATAATCAAAGCCAGCAGCAAAAAAATTTTGAGCAATCCGACCTAAAATCGATGGCCGCTTCTTTCAAAATTTGGGGTTTTCTTTTCCGCCCCAACTCTTCGTTGATAGCTCTGTCAAATCATTCAAATTGCGATTCACTCGCTAAGAGTGGCCCGTACATGTAGCTGTTTACCTTGAAACGAGTGGTCGTCGCCTAGTTTAGTTCGGATTGCTCAAAATTTCTTTACTGCTGGCTTTGATTCCGGCCAACCCAGACGTTGTCAAAACATTTTTCAGCTTTATTATATACAACGTCACGATTCTTTATTTACATCCTTTATAAAAATTGTTCGCTGGGTCTAGTACAATTATGCGCAATTTGATTGTTTTAGATCTCGACTTGTGATTAGCTTATTTCAAAATTTATCTCAAAATTTTGTCTGGGTGGCCTCGGTTCGTGTGGTCCCACTGTAATTATGAAATAAAATACTGGCAAGTGAAAATAGAAAGCAACATATTCGGAAAAAAAAAGAAAAAAACGAACAAACAAACTTGATTCCGTGCTCTTGAGCGGGACATGAACTCACGTCTCTCTCTGCTCAGCTAGCTAGTCAGGTATGCTTACTACTAAACACGCTGGTTACGCCACAGCGTAAAACCTACCAGTGACTACAGTCAAATGATACTAAGACTAGCGTGATAAAATTAATTTTGATTACATTTATTCAAGGAATTCCAGCGGTCATTGTAGGCATTACAGCTGCCATAAACCCCTCTACGTATGACATGAAAGCACCATTGAAGGAAGTCATATGTGGACCATTTAACTTTACTGGGCGTCCTGAGAGAGAAAGGTAATCAACCACGTTATATCTTTTCTTCAATTTTTCTCCGATTACCTCTCTCTTTCTATTGTTGTATAATTGTATATTTTATCGTAGATGTTGGCTCAATGGAAGTACGTGGATCTACAAAGGGCCAGTCTTGTTTTTTCTGTTGGTAAGAATTGTAAATAACGTCATTTCTACTATAAATAAAGACTATAAACATTTACTCGTTTAAAATACAATACTGCATTTTATCATTAAATAAGTCGAACCCGCTTAACGGACACCCGCCTGATACGGGCAGTTTTCCTTTTCCCTGGAGAAAGCCCTCACAATTTCTCTAAATTGAACCAGCTTAATTAGTTTCAAATTTCAACTAATCGATAAACTGACACCATCATATGAAAGGTCATGTTGAGGTTGGTAATTCGACCAGTTTGGTGCTCTAAGGTTGAACAGGGATCAAGTTATGACTCTTGAAACATAGTTAAAGAGCCATACAAACCTCTGTAATTTTGTGACAGCGTTCCCAAAGCCATATAAACTCTTTTATTTAAACTATAAAATTCGTCATGCATCTACTACTTGAAAGGAACTAATTCGAAAATCCCTGTGTTTGCTCATTTTTAGGAATATCACAGAAATGGTGAAAAAAATTAAGAGTTTATATGGTTTTGGGGGACGATGTCACAAAATTACAGAGGTTTGTATGGCTCTTTAACTATGTTTCAAGAGTCATAACTTGACCCCTGTTCAACCTTAGAGCACCAAACTGGTCAAATTACCAACCTCAACATGACCTTTCATATGATGGTGTCAGTTCATCGATTTGTTTAAATTTGAAACTCGCCCCAGTTCCCTACGCAACTCCGAAATGGCCAATACGGACACTTGTTTCTTTCCCAATCAACGAATTCCAAGGAAAGTCAACCTCGCTAATGCAATAAGTGTGTGCTGTAATTAAACTTTTCTTTTGGAAGGTAAAAAATACCCTTTGGTGACAGCTTGCTGATGTTCCAACGCTAAAGTACACCGTATAGAATCGATTTTAGACGTCAATTACAGACTACTTTGCTACTAAACGAGTTATGCAGAGAACGGTGATAGGACTTTCCTTTACAAATAGGCAAGCTTTTCAATTTAAGAAAAATAGAACAGCTGATCTGCACCAATCAAATGCCAGAAAATACAATAGGTAATGCAAACTAGCCAATCAGCACAAAGTCCCTATGACAACGCGTCAAAAAAAGTCTCGTTAGCTGACGGCGGTTCGTCAGGGAACACTCTTTGATTCTTGTAGCTGAGAATGTCGTTTTTTTTAATGCGGTTTTGTTTTGGCTTCTTGCCTGGGCCATTTAAAAAGGAAAATGTATGATCAAACTGAGGAAAGTTTGTATAGAAACATACAGCGATTCTTGAAAATGTACTCAAGCACTGAAACTTTGGACAACAATAAAAAACACTGATATAGTTGCGTTTAGATGTTAGCATTACAAAACAAGCGGACAAAGTCTGCGGAAATCGTTTGAGGTAATGAATGAAATGTCTATTTTTAATAGCTTAGGTGTTTTTGTTTCAACTACAACTGCGGACGGGTTCGAATGTACAGTATTTCGTGTCTGTGACACGCTAAAATAATCTGGATTAACTAACTAGCTATATAATTGATAAGTAAGAGGACTACATGCTTGTCCAATTTGGAAATAATTGAATTAAAATTAGACAAGGCCGTAGGCCGAGTCCTATTTTGGCTGTCCTCGGAATGTTTTTCATCCAATTATTTCCAAATTGGATAGCACGTAGTCCTACTACATATACAAATGACATTAATAGGGACAGCCCGTTGAAACGAACACTTTCAATGGCCCCTTGTATTAACCTAGGTTAGACTACCTTTTTTGGTAAAAATATTCTTTTCTCTCTAACAGGTAAACATCGGGATGTTTCTGATACTTTTGCGAGTTATTTTTGGAAAACTGTCCAATAAATACAACAAAGAGAATGTTAAGTTTGCAAGGTACTAATCTCTGTTTACTATCTTATCAGTCTTTTTGAGGACTGTGAATGTGATTCCGCTTATGGTAATCATCGTAGTAGGGTTGTGGGAAAAAAGGGTGTGCCTGGGAAAGTTAAGAACAACTACAAGAACCACAACAACAAGCATAAATGGCAACATGCAAAACTAGTTGGTGAAATTGTTCCTTCTATCTTTTTATCTGGCACTTGAAAAAGCAGCAAGCGTACACGCCCAGTCTACATCCACAGAGTCATTTCGTTTCAACTGATTACAATACACTACAGTATAACAGCTTACAGTCTTATATTATAGTTACATGTATAATGATAAAATGCGAGTAAACATCATTACTTGAAACAAAGGGATCTTCAAGCGAATATATTGCTTGAAAATTTTGTCAAAGATGAAATCACATAACGATTCACCTTTTAAAGAGATGATTTAAAATTTCGTTACCCTGTTTATAAGGCAGGAGACCTAATTTCTTGACCCTGATTTATGTCATTTCGCATACAGCCTTAATTAATTTTTAAACTAACATAATGGAAAAAAATGTTGGTATCACTCAATCGCCAACTTTGGCTTACTGAAAAAGGGACCCTACTCAAGAAGCTAAATTATGAAATAATATATTACACTTGTTTAAGTCTCAAAAGCGTGAAAACCATAATTATCCTGTTAAGCTGCACAAACCCGTTTAGGGCAAAGAAGGAAGTATCCTAAATCATGAACAGAATACCATTCAGGTCTTCTTTTACCTTTTCACAGGAAAGGATTACGGAGCATGTTGGCCTTACTTCCACTGTTGGGTGTCACGTATATTTTGGGATATTTCCTTCAAGTCCACATCGCCGTTCAGTACCTGTTTGTTTTGCTGAATTCCACGCAGGTTTGTTGTTTACAGTAGAATAGATATTAATTAACCCGAAATGTCAGAAAATTGTAGCCAATAAACTAGCCATCTCGCCATCTTGGTATTACTTTCTATGTTAAAACAAAAAAAAAAGGTCATTCAGCCTTTCAGAAAATGTGAGGTGCGATGGAAAGTAATTTTTACTTTCATTTAGTCAAGAGCTGCTGTTACAGGAGACAACTCGAACTACAAAATTAGAAATTTTGCCCTTTAAGTGTCTTTCTGACGTTTTGCCGTCTTCAAAAGGGTGTAATGAAGCTTTCCCTCCCCATTCCCCCATGCAATGTTGTGCCGCTATTTGCGCTATCCCTTGGAGAAAACAAACACCCCAGCTTTGACAGGAGGAGAGGGTATAAAGATGGGGAGGGAATTTTTTTTTGTCCAAAGTTACCTCATTTGAGGACATTGTATCAGCAATTTTGTCGCTAATTGTAGGTAAAACAATTTGAGCAACGGGCACCTACAACTAATGGTAATTAGTTATGGATTATCAAAGCAAACGTCTCTTTCGATTTACAAACATGCTTCTGATGAGTAAGGAACTTATAATCGGATTAGAATCTTTTGTGGCCTTAATATTAATCTCAACCGTTTTTACGATCTTTCCTTACTTACTATCCAATTACAGGTCCGCTTTTTTTAAATGTTTCCATGTCGACGTACTACTCAGATCTTAATGATAACCGGAATTTGATCGACGGATTCCGCATGCTTTTGTCAATTGAAGTCAAGGAAAATGCCCACATATGATTTTTTTTTCTGTTCACAGGGAGTCACTTTTACCATTTTTCACTGCGTTTTTGACGATCAGGTATTTGGTTATAAAGCTCAGGGTAGTTTGTGCTACTGTTAATGATCATTAATGAAAGAAAAAAGTAAAATTGCCTGAATTAGAGGACGCCTGCACTAATGTATAGATCTTGCAAGAGCTAAAAGCGAAGTCTCCGTTTATATACTTATAGCTAAAGAAATTTAATTTTGATCCACTAAAAAGAAATCTTGAAATCCCTTCTTAATAACTTTATGAGCCCTCCATTTACCCTTTGAGGGAGGGCCTGAGTGATAAAGAAAAAATATCCCGCAAACACACCTGCAATGAAAAAACTCTCCCATCAAGCTAATGAATGTACCTCCTCGAAGCAAGACTTTCCTCGTACAATTGAGATGACAACTTGCTGCCATTAAAGAATGCTTTTAAACGTATACAACGCAGTTCTTGAAAAGGATTCAACATGCGTTTATAAACGACGGTGTTGGATGAAGTCAGTGGAACCCTGGGAGTTAAACATGTTCGATCCGCAATTGATCAGTTCCTAACAGATGGGAATAGGTGATTCTTTTCTATTATTCTCGTTTTCCTTCTCTAACTGTCTGTCGCTGTGACTTCAGATTACTGAAGGACTGAAGAAGCTCTGCGGAAAGAACACTGTACCACAAAAGCCAAAGAAAAATCCAAAGACTCCAAAGGAAACTAATAAAAAGAAAAGTAAAGGTAATTACAATATTTACATCAGAGCTGCACGTCAAATT